AAAATTGCCTCACTATTTTCCTCTGCATACCTTTTTAGGTGAAAAGCAACCCTCTATATTGCTTAAGCTGTTTTCTTTCTGCTATATAAAGTAAGCCTAACTACTATAAATAGAAAATAATACCACTTTTACTCTTTTCTTTTTCAATTTAACTTTTTTCCTTAGGCTTTTTGGCCACACGGCATGTGAGTTTGCTGGAGAGAGAGAGAGAGAGAGAGAGAGAGAGAGACAGAGACAGAGACAGAGACAGACAAAGAAAGAGGGAAAGTGAGAAATCTCCCCTCCGGGGTGGGAGGATGGCCATGCCTCAATCCCCTTTCCTCCATTCCCTTCTCAGGATTTTGGGCGTGCATACACATGCAACCCAGCATGTTTTTCAGGCCACAAGGTCCAGGACTTGAACTGCAGAGTTGGCCATGTGGGACCCAGCACTTTAACCACCATGCCACCTGCCAGCCCCAGTTTGTTTTGCCACAGGTTGGATATGTTCACCAGAGAGGGACAGAGAGGGAAAGTGAGGAATCATCCTTCAGGGGACATGGCCACGTTACAATCCTTCTCCTCCATTCTCCTCCTGGGATTTTAGGCATACATGCACATACACGTAGCATGATTTTTCAGCCACAGGTCTGGCACTTGAACTGAGGTTGGCCACGTGGGAGTCCAGCAACTTAACTACCGTGCCACCTACTGGTCCCCTAAAATGCATTTTTTTTTTTAAAGATAGAAAGGCTCACCTACAGCATGTGTGCACAGGCACCTGCATGCTCTCTGGAAAAAGAGAGAGGGAAAGTGAGAAATCACCCCACAGGGGGTAGGGCCATGCTGCAATCCCTTTTCCTCCATTCTCCTCTTGGGCTTTTGGGCATACATGCACATATACTTGGCATGAATTTCAAGACACTGGGTCTGGGACTAGAACCATGGTTGGCTATATGGGAGTTCAGCGCCTTAACCCATCACACCACCTGCATGCCCCTCTTTTTTCTTTTTCTTTCTTTCTTCATCTTTTTTTTTTTTTTTTTGGTTGTTTTATGATAGGGCATGGTGCTTTATAGGGGACAGGGGAGAAAGTGAGAAAGCACCTCTGAGGGGGTCATGGCCATGCTGCCATCCCCTCTCCATTCTCTTCTTGGGACTTTCAGCATGCATGTACACATGCCTGGTGTGTTTTTCAAGCCACAGGGTCCTGGACTCAAATGGCACTGTCAGCCATGTCAGATCCAGCCACCTTACCCACCATTCCACTGGCTAGCCCTACGGTTTTTTAAAAAATTATTTTATGGGGGACCAGCAGTTAGCATAATGGCTATGTTGCTGGACTCCCATGTAGTTGACCGCGGTTCTCGTCCCAGACCCGGTGGCTTAGAACTCACGCCAGGCGCGTGTGCGTGCATGCCCAAGATCCCGAGAGGAGAATGGAGGAGAAGGGATTACGGTGTGGCCATACCCCCAGGGGGTGATTTCTCACTTTCTGTCTCTCTGTCTCTCTCTGTCTGTCTGGTGAGCTCATGCGCCCTATGGCAAAAAAAACCTCTCCAAAACAAACAAACAAAAAAACTTATTTTATTGTCAAAGGGGGTGTGCACTGGCCAGAGAGAGAGGAGAGAGGGAGAGAGGGAAAGGAGGAGAGAAAGCAACCCCTGATGGGTATGATCACATCATAATCCTTTTTCTTCCATTTCTCCATCCCATCAGAATTTAGGGCATGAATGCACACAGACCTGGTGTGTTTTTCAAGCTACCAGAGCCAGATTTGAACCATGGTCACCATGTAATATTCGGTTCTTTTACATACAGAGCTTAACCAGTACACTATGGGGATGACCCTTTTTTTAATTAATTATTTTTACATTTTTCCACATTTACTTTACCTTTTTAAATACTTTCTAACTAGTTATTACTGGAATTGTTTTTTAAAAGTCATCTCATATTCACTCACCTTACTAAGCTCTCACTTTTGATAAATTCAGAGTGGGTAGTCCTCGGTAGACAATGATCTCGATAACAAATATTGATCATTTTACTGATTTTACATTTTCTTACTTTTCTTATTACACCAGCTTACCCCTAGAGAACACTGAAAGTAATGTTGGCGATCTGTGCTCTTGCCTTGTTCTGAGTCTGAACTTATTGCATTTAGGTGAACGGTTCTCAATTAGAGATGAAAAAGAGCAACATCTGAGAAGTCACTGTATGGTGAGTCTCAACCCAGAACTACTGAATTTAGATCTCTGTGGGGTGTGAGTGTGTGGAGGGGCGGGGAGGGAGAAAATGGTCGGGTGAGTAGCAGGCATATAATTTTCAAAGGCCCCATCCACCCAGGTGATTCTGAGGTGCACTCCTGGGTAAGGACATTGTTCCTTTACTTTAAAACTAAATAAGCTATTTGCTGTGTCCCCATAAATGCCCTATTAAGATTCCCAGGTTACCAAAACCCCTCTTTTTTTTTTTTTTTTTGAGAGGTTTTTGCTATAGGGCGTGTGCGCTCGCCAGACAGACAGAGAGAGACAGAGAGACAGAAAGTAAGAAATCACCCCCCAGGGGGGATGGCCACGCCACAATCCCTTCTCCTCTTGGGATCTTGGGCATGCACGCACACGCGCCCGGCGTGAGTTTTAAGCCACTGAGTCCGGGACGCAAACCACAGTCGACTACGTGGGAGTCCAGTGACATAGCCTTTACGCAAACTGCTGGTCCCTCAAAACCACTCTTATTATGTTACTTTAAAATTTAAAAATTGGCCCAGCTGCTGTGGTGCAGCAGCAACACAGTGCCCTGAAATGCTAGAAGCCACATGGTGAACACAGGTTTTTATTCCCAAGTTGGCCTGAAATCACTCCAGGTACATGTGGCAGGCACCCAAGATCCTGAGGAGCTGCAGGGCTGTGGAAAGGGATTGGGGTATGACAAGACCCTGTTGAGGATCAGTCTCTCTCTCTCATATGCATATGTGTGCCCATTCTGATTAAAAATTTCAGAAACTGAAGTTGAATGTTGTCAAATGTCTTTCCACCATCCACCAGGAAGGTGATAGGAGTCTCAATTAATTAGAATAGATCACATTAATATATTTCCTAATTTTTAAAAGTTTATTAATTTATTTAATGAGAGAGGCAGGCAGGCTTCCTCAAGCGGGTTTCACCTCTGTGCCAGCTTTCCCACCAGCCAGGATCACGAGTACCTATGGGCTCATTGGTTGCGTTGAGGTCAACCCAGGATCTGAACCCAGAGCCTCCACTGAGTCCAGTATCACACAGTAGCACCTTACCTCCTGCACTATTGTAGCTGGGTCTATTTACTAATTTTGAACAGTCTTTAAATTCTTAGAGTACGGAGTTTGATTTACTAATATATTTAGAGATTTGTGTGTGTGTGTGTAAATATGTATGTATGCATGTGTATAAAAGTGAGATTGGTCTATGGTTTGTTTTTCTTTTAATGAATTTTTGTCAGGTTTGGTATCACAGTTCTGCAAGCTTTATGGAATGAACCAAGAAGTTCCCCATCTCTCGCTTTGTGCTGAACCTTTTTAAACACAGGAATCATCAGTTCCTTAAATGAGTGCTCAAACTCACTTGAAAAACATTTGTACCTTTCTTATAAAACTTGTCAAATTTTGTAATACAGCATTAGTACTTTATGCATGTACCCAAATGACTTGGTGACTGTAAACTGCTTCTTACACAGGAAAACAGACTTTGAAGGCACTGGTTTATTATATGTGAGGCATGCAAAAGAAAGGAAGTACTTTACAACTCTCTAAGGCAAGTCAAAAGTTCAGGGACCCCTACCAACTTACTCTCCATATGACTGAACAAATGAAACCACTACAGATGTACACTGATTCCAGTAGTCTGAGGCAGCACAGGGAAGTAGAAGTTCCATTAAAAAAAAAGTGATACAAAATTCCAAATGTCCAAACCTTACTCTTCATCACCCTTCCAAGAGACTCTTTTGGCTTTCTGCCTTCATAACTACATCCTAGTCTAAACTACTAACAATTCTCATCTGGACCATCAGTGATCACCTCTTAACTTGTCTCGTTTCTTGCTCATTTAAAAAAAAATTGCCAGAGGGTGCCTGTGATTTCCAGAGAGACAGAGAGAGAAAATGAGAAAGTACGCACCATGGGACATGGTCACATTGCAATTCCTTCTCCATCTCTCTCTCCTGTCAGGATTTTGGGCACGCATGCATATGTGCCACATGTGTTTTTCAAGCTGCTGGGTCCAGTAGTCAAAATGAACAGTTGGGCACGCTGATCCAGCTGCCTTAACCGCTAGACCACCAGATGGCGCCATTTCTACCTTTGCTTCTGTGTGCCACTGGAGTGTCTTACACATGCTGTTCTCCATGCCTTGAAGACTCCCAACCTCTCACCTCATTCTTCATTCACCTTCGAAGCACCATTTCCTTCAGAAAACTCTTAACCACCTTCTAGCACAGACTAAGTTACCTTTCTTTCTTTTTTTTTTTTTTTTTTTTAAGAAAAATGTTATTTTATTATTAGTTTTATTTTTTTAATTTGCTTAGGGCACGTGCACTCAACAGACTGAAAGACAAAGTGAGAAAGCAAGCTGCCAAGTCCAAGACTCAAACCACGGTCGGCTGCATGGGAGTCCAGCTTCTTAACCACCATGCCACATACTGGCCCCAGCTTTACTTTCTTATGTGCTCTCAATAGTACTTCGTAACTTCTTTCGAGCACTTACGTAGTTTGTATATTTACTTATCTGGCTTTAATCAATAGGTCTCTCTCAGTAGACTGTAGGCTTCATGAGGACACAGTACGCTTTGATCACTAGTGTATGTCCACTCTTAACACGGTAAGCACGTTCATAATGGATGAATGCTAATCCCTTATATAATATACTCAGTACTCTATACTTGACTAAAACCACCTAAGAACAGAGAGCAAGTCAACTAATATCATCTATTCGTATGTATGGGCAGTTACTTACTGTCATATTTAGGAAAATGGACAATTGTTTTCTTACTTGTAAATTCCTCGTGACATATTTTCAATGTATTTCGCTTTGTCTTGTACCCCACAGTGGTAATGGTAAGTCTTCACACAGGCTTTTATCTCACATCCAATAGTAGCGCCGGGCTGACTGCAAAGTGTACATTTCTGAGTAAGGAAAGAGAAATTACAATCGTAAGCATCATTTCCAAGTTTATGCAATCTTATTCTATTTTAGTCATATTTCAACCAAACATTCCAGTTTACAAGGAAAGCAGCAGCCATTTTCTGTTGAAAAAGAGTACACTGAACTTGTTATATGGTACGCAATTTAAATAAGACTGTAACTTAACACCATACTTAGATAAACCTTTGAATTCTAAGTTATCCCATATATTTTCATTACTGAGCATTTGTAAATCACCAGCTCATTAGAAGAGCCACACTAGCCATCATCAGAGATCTGCCATCTAAGTATAGAAGAGATATTCCTTAATGCTGCCAAACACAAAAAAAGAATGATATTGTGTATTTTACTGGTTGACGTCTTCTCCTCCCCGAGATCTGATCCTTTTCTACACTGGGGAAAGAATGAAAAAGCAGGAAATCAATTCTCTCTGAGAAGGGTCACTACCAACTAGGCAGAGGGAGGCTAAAGGGGCTGGAGACTTTTCAATGTGGCTCAGTTCAGCCCTGCCTAAAGAACATTCCGAAATTAAAAGTGCCTGTTGAAAATCTGGTTTCATAGTTAAGTAAGTGTGAGAAATGAAAGGTCAAGCAGACTGCTTTATTGGAGAACGTCTCACAGTCTTTTTTCTAGGGTGCCCCTTTACTTTCAGAGGGGTTGGGGAACACCTTCATGGGCTAATTTCTTTGGGAGCAGAAATGCTAGGCTAGTGTTTACCCCAACCTCAACAGTGCAGGGGGAAACAGCAGTTGATCCAGGGGACTGAACGTTATCCCAGTCAGCCATTTGGACTTTGGCTGTATGACACACATTGCTCTACATGATATGATGAAGTGCTTGGCCCTTGATTTCTTCTTCAGTTCTACAGGTTCTGTGATAAAAAGTTTCATTGTTAAAAGAACAGTCGAATTATCAATAAACTGAATTGGATCTACACAGGAGAGATAATATCAACAGTCTTCGATATAGATTTTGAATATGTAATTCCACAAAGAAAGAGCCATTTCCAGTGATTCGGAGATCAGACAAGTCTGAAACCATGACATGAAAGACTGAAGGGGGACCTGACAATGGAGGGATCAGACTCACAACCTGAATCCCAGCACTAGACATTATCTGTCTGATGTGTTAAAATAGGAATGAAATGGTCCCATCTTTGAAGTATCCTTAGTCCCTCAAAAGGTGAAACTCAATCTAACCATGCCTTTAAATGTAACTTCTACTTTAAAAGAAAATATAGTGGATACAGGGACACGTTAAGTGGTTTGTGAAAAAGCAAACATAAAAATATGTGGTACTTTCTACAGGACCATTAATTCATTTTATTCAATAACAGCAAACAAAAGACAAAATATAGACAACGACAAAGAGATGAAGGAGGAACTGGTTGAAATTACTTTAAAGGATTAAAAAAGAGCCAAATGTAACATGTGGTCCTCCTGTAGATTTCAAGTCCAACAAATCAACCTTACAGAGATAGTTTTGAGACCGTTGGGGAAATATAAACATGAACTGTGTATTAAATGACATTGAAAAACTACTTTTGGGACCAGCAGATGGCATAATGGTTACATGGCTGGACTCCCATGTAGTCGACCATGGTTCGAGTGCCAGGTCTGGTGGCTTAAAACATACGTTGCAATGTGCATGCATGCATGTCCAAAATCCCAAGAGGGATTGCGGCATGGCCATGCCCCCAAGGGGTGATTTCTTGTTTTCTATCTGTCTCTCTAATGAGCACATGTGCCCTATTGCAAAAATCTCTCTAAAAAAAATTATTGTGGGAACCAGCAGTTAGCGTAATGGCTATGTCGCTGGACTCCCACATAGTCGACCGCGGTTCGTGTCCTGGACCCGGTGGCTTAAAACTCACGCCGGGCGCGTGTGCGTGCATGCCCAAGATCCCGAGAGGAGAATGGAGGAGACGGGATTGCGGCGTGACCATCCCCCCGGGGGGTGATTTCTCGCTTTCTGTCTCTATGTCTCTCTCTGTCTGGCGAGCGCACGCACCCTACAGTGAAAATCTCTCAAAAAAAAATTATTGTTAACTTATATAAGGTGTGATGACATTGTGGTTGGGGAGGAACATGTCCAGTTTTTAAGAGGTCTATACTGAACTATGTAAAACTGGAATAATACAATGTCTGAGCTCTGCTACGAAACACTTCAAACAACAAGAATAAAAGGCATAGATAAAATGGGTGCTGAAGATTCTCGATAGTTGATGAATCAAGAGAATAGACGGGCATTACTGGTCTTTCTAATTCTGAAGTTTGAAACATTTCACAACAACAACAACAAATCAAACATTAAAGCCATTTATAGAAACAAACGCTGTCTTAAAGACGTTTCCGGGTCAGCAGGTAGCCTGGTGGTTAAACCACCAGAATCCCACAGTATCAACCATGGTTGTGTTCTAGACCTGGCAGCTTGGAAATCACGCAGGGTGTGTAGGTGTGCGTGCCCCAAATCCCAGGAGGATAATGGAGAAGGGATTGTAGGGTAGCCATGCCCCCAGGGGGTGATCTCTCGATTTCCCCGTCTCTCGCTATTTCTCTCCAATGAGCACATGTGCCCTATGGCAAAAACCTAACAACAACAAAGATTTTTATATGCCTTGACATTTTATATTATTCATAAGCTTTAAAGAAGCAATCAATAAATGCCAGTATCTCTTAGTAATTCAGTATATTTTAAAACATGAGACTAAGGTGCATTTTATAAAGGCAACTTTAAAGTTATGATAAATATCTTAAAAGACATAGCTGTTTATGGGCACTTTAACTAAAACTGAAGCACTCCCTCAAAAGAACTTTCCTTTCAAAAAAATTAAAAAGTTAACATGAGGAAGTTCTTATTGCTATATTACAGTTATGAAATTTTTCTTTAAGCAAAGTTACACAATATGATGACATTTTAAACTTAATAAGGTTTGCCACATTCATATCTTATTTTATTAAAGTGCTCACAAATACTCTGAAATACAAATATTCTCTGTCTAATTCTCTGAAGTAATGAAGTTAACGTAGAAAGAGCAGGTTCAGTAACATCCTTTATTACACATAAGTCAAATATGTACTTTTCTTTAACATATGAGCTACTTTATATTAAATTTTTGATGACTAGATAAATGTGAGACGTGTTCTAAATATAAAACAGAAATTCAAGAATAATACTGTGAAACAAATACAAAAACCACAGACCATTCTTTTTCCTCGCTTAATCTCCTGAAGTACAGTTTTAATATCAAAATCTCCAAATTCTGCTCTCGATGTTGTTGTGAGCTGGACTGTGCCAGAAGAGAATAGCTAGAAGGGAAAAAGGCAGGCACATTACTGTTCAGAATCCTTATGACAGACAGATGAAGCAAGGTAACAAACATGTTATGTTCCTTTAACATCCTGAGAAAGATCATTCCTTAATAATCAAGTACCAACTCAAATATTTTAAACATATTCACAGCTCATTAAACTGCAACCCAAATCAGGGGCCAGCAGGTGACGTGGAGGTTAAGGCGGCTTGATTCTACATGGCCATCTGTGTGGTTCAAGTCCCAGACCCTTGAGAATCATGCTGTATGCCTATGCGTGCATGCCCAAAATCCCAAGAGGAGACTGGAACTTGACAAGGGATTGTGGTGTGGCCATACCCCCTAGGGGAGTGATTTACTGCTTTCCCCCCATCTCTGTCTCTGTCTCTCTCTGGCGAGCACATGTGCCTGATACCAAAAACTAAAAATAAAAAAAACCCACCCAAATCAAAGACAGTGAAATAAAACTATTGGGTCGTCGGGAAAGTCATGACACATTTTTGCACCGAAAAACAGAAAAGTACACCATGACTTTTCTGATGATCTAATAAGATCACTAGTGTGGAGCCAAGACTAAATACCCTGCTTCAAACAATGAAGATTTCAAAAATGTCAGTGCCCTGTTGCCTCAACTGTTTCACATTTCTATGTATTAATAAACAGTTAAGGGGGAAGGGCTGGCAGTGGCATGGTGGTTAAGGTGCTGGACTCCCACATGGCTAATAGTGGTTCGATAGTCCCAGATCTCGAGGTCTGCTTTCTCATTTTTCCTTTCTCTTTTTCTCCCTTCTCTGTCTCTCTCTAGTCAAATGAAAAATAATAAATTAAATTAAATAATTCTTTAAAAAACCAGTTAAGGTGTGGTGGTTAAAGCGCTAGACTCCCACATGGCTGACTGCAGACTGACTGGACCTGGCAGCTTGAAAACCACCCCAGGTATATGTGCATATGTACCCAAAATCCTGAGAGGAGAATGGAGGACAGTGTGGCAATGCCCCCTGGAGGGATAATTTTTCACTTTTTCTCTGTCTGTCTCTCGCTGGTGAATGCATGCACCCTATGGCAAAAACCTTAAAAAACAAAAACAAACAAACAAAAAAACACAGTTTAGGGCCAGCCAATGACGTAGAGGTTGAGGTGGGTGGATCGCACGTAGCTGACTGCACAGTTCATGTTGTAGACTGAGTAGCTTGAAAATCACTCTGGGGTGTGTGTGCATGCATGCCTAAAACCCCGAGAAGACAATGGAGAAGGGACTGCAGCATGGCCACCCCCCTGGGAGGGTGATTTCTCTCTCTCTCTCTGCCTTTCTCCAGCAAGTGCACACACCATTTAGCAGAAACTGAAAACAGCTTAAATTGGCAAATTTCAACCACAGATGCAAATGAGAAGCACCTAAGTTCTACCCCTACCCCAAAATAAACATTTTTTGGATCTGCTCCATGGGGGTACTAAGCATATGCATTTTGGAAATATCTCCCCAGGTAAATCTGATATGCACTCTGGATAAGCTGGGGCCGGTCAGATGGCATGGTGGGAAGGTAGCTTGGATCCCACATGGCAGGCTGCGTGGACTTAGTGGCTTGAAAAACATGTTGGGGGGACCAGCAGTTAGCATAAGGGCTATGTCACTGGACTCCCATGTAGTCAACCACAGTTTGAGTCCTGGACACCGATGGCTTAAACTCACACCAGGCACGTGTGCGTGTGTGCCCAAGATCCCGAGAAGAGACTGGAGGAGAAGGGACTGCGGAGTGACCATCCCCCCTGGGGGGTGATTTCTCACTTTCTGTCTCTGTCTTTCTGGCGAGTACACTCACCCCATAGCAACAACAACAATAACAACAAACTCTCAAAAAAAAAGAAAAAGAAAAACACATTGGGCACATTTGTGTGTACCTGCCCAAATTCCCAATAGGAGAATGAAGAAAGGATTGGAATGTGGTCATCCCCCCTGGGATGTGCTTTTTCACTTTCCCTTCTCCCTCTCTCTCCCAGGTTAGTACACGTGCCCTAGAGCAAACTAAGAAGAAAAGAACGTCTGACATAAAAATATACTTTTAAGGGACCAGTAGGTGGTATAGTGGTTAAGGTGCTGTACTCACACATGGCTGACCGCAGTAAAGTCTCAGACCTGACGGCTTAATAATCACTCGAGGTACATGTACATATGTGTCTAAATCCCAAGAGGAGAATGGGGAAAAGGGACTGCAATTTGGTCATTCCCCTGGTGTGTGTGTGTGTGTGTGTGTTATATATATACACACACTCATATAATTATATATAATATATATCATGTATATAATATTATATACACATATAATTTTAAAAACTTAATCATGGGGACTAGTAGGTGGTATGGTGGTTAAGGTGCTGGACTCCCACATGGCTGATTGCAGTTCAAGTCCTGGACCTAGAGGCTTGCTTTCCTACTTTCCCTTTCTCTTGGTCTCTCTCTGGTCAAATTAAACAAATAGTGATGATAATAAATGAAATAAAATAATTATCTTAAAACAAAAATTTTAATCATAAATGGAATGAGTAATTCAATATGCTCTAATTCAAAAACATTGATGTGTTCTGTAAGTCAGGCCTGGATCTAGGGATGCAAAGGAAAATTTTCAAGGAATTTTAGAGTTAGAAGAGAAAGGCTCATAAATTAATAATTGCAACATAATGTATGAAATACAATAACAGAGGGGCCGGCAGGTGGCATGGTGGTTAAAGGTGCTGGAATGCCACATGGCTGATCACGTTTCAAGTCCTGAACCTGGCAGCTTGCTTTCTCGTTTTCCTTCTTTCTCTTTGTTTCTCTTACTTTGTCCCTCACTGGTCCAATTAAAATAAACAAACATGGGACCAGCAGTTAGCGTAATGGCTAAGTTGCTGGACTCTCATATAGTTGATCGTGGTTCGAGTCCCAGACCTGGTGGCTTAAACTCACGCCAGGCACGTGTGCATGCGTGCCCAAGATCCCAAGAGGAGAATGGAGGAGAAGGGATTGTGGCGTGGCCATCCCCCTTGGGGGGTGATTTCTCACTTTCTGTCTCTCTGTCTATCTGTCTTTCCGGCGATCACACATGCTCTATAGCAAAAACCTCTCCAAAAAAAAGAAAAGAAATAATAAATTGTTAAATAAAATAGTTATTTTAAATAAATACAACAATAGAGATATTTATTAGGTTGTAATGAAGATCTAATATATCTATGTGCCTGAAAGTTTTTATTATGAAATAATTACAGATTATCCTGCATATGGTAAGTATAATTAGGATTAAGAATTTTTCAAATTCTCCTAAAAATAATGGCTTTTATGAAGAATTTCAAAAAGTTCATAAAGGATTAGACACATAAGCTAGTGGTTAAGGGAGCAAGATCCTACAGGGCTGACTATAATTTGAGCCCCAATCCCACTGGTTTGCAAAACACACCAGGTGCATGTGCATGCATGTTCAAAATCCTGACAAGATGGAAAAATGGAGGGGAAGGGATTTCAACATGATCATAACTGAGGGGTGCTTTCTCTCTCTCTCTCTCTCTCTTCCTCTCTCTCTCTGGTGGTTCCGTGTGCCCTTGGGCAAGTAAAAAATGTTGTGGAAAATACATATTATTAAAACAAAAACTACACAGATTTCAATTTTCTTTTTTTTTATAGTTTTGCTATTAGGTTTATGTGCTCACTGGAGAAAGAGTCAGAGACAGAGAGACAGGAAAGTGAGAAATCATCCCCCAGAAGATGGGGGGAAGATGATGCTGCCACAATCCCTTCTTCTCTGTTCTCTCAGGATTCTGGGCATGTGTGTGCACATGTGTGCTCATGCACACACGAACATGTTTCAAGCCACTGGGTCTAGGACTCAAACCACGCAGTCCGCCATGTGGGATTCAGCCTTCCCAACCTTCGCGCCACCTGCTGGCTAGGATTTCTTTTTTTTTTTTTTTTTCACCAAAATAAACTCATACTTGAATTCCATTTTCCAGACTTTCTGGGGTCCTCTTATGTTTTTCATATTAACATTTAGGATTACAGAACACGCTATTCATAACTTGAAAATGGTAATGCTGTGGAACGGGAAGTGCTATATCTGCTTACTAGTTAAGTGATTTCCAAAAAAAACCTAGGCTTAAAAGCACACCAAAAGAACCATGCTTACCATACACTTATAGTGTGCAGCTGCCTTCTTGGCATTGAATATATGCAGCTTTCCTCTTGCTTCATTTTCTTCCTCCCCTACATGACAAAATCCACATTTAGGCCTGGTGTCACTAGGGCTGCTTCTGTGTGGAGACCTATCTCTCTGCAAATGTAAAAGAAAAAAAAAATAGATCCACAAAATTATGCTTTTAGTATTTCAAGCCTATTTAGCATTTCAAATGACAACTTTACCTACAGTCAGTTTAAATGAAATATTCATGGTACGACAAAAAAGTAAGGATCCAACCGTTCTCTACTCACATAGGAACTACTTTCCATTTCATCTGTTCCGTGAGAGGACGTGGACCTGGTATCTTCCGACAGGCCTTTAAAATTAGTTTTTCTTGGCCTTCCTTTGCGACTTTTCTTTTTACTTTTAGGTGATGAGGGCTCCAGTTCATGTTCGTTAAAACTTTCTTCTAAATCAGCTGCTTAAAAATGAACAAAAGCTTTATATGGACCGATCTTTTAAAATGAGCATGAGCTCATGGGTCCTTAGGACCTATGTTTGTCCTTGCAATGATATCATCTCCCAAAATGAGGAGAAATGGTCTATGATAAATGCAACAAAAATCAAATATAAAAGCTAGTTTGCAACCTTCATTATTTCTGGTTTTATCAGAATAATTATGGCCTTATCTTAATTATTTCTAGTTTTATTAGAATCATTGTAACCTTAATTATTTCTTTCAAACGTGTAATTCTATAATAATGAGTTCTGTGATCTTGACTGTTTTTATAATTCAGTAGATACTTTCAAACTCTAATCAATTTTTAGAATTAGTTCTTGTATTATTTACATTACTATAGGTTTTGGAGTTTAACCTCACATTGTTGGTGAAATTAGAACACTTATCAAGAAAATCAACTTACCGTAATGAGGAAAAATAGATTCAGTATATTCACTCTGTATAATTAGCAGTAGCAACCACTGGCAACATGTGGCTCTACATTTTTTACATCAGTTATAAAGAAAAAAATTAAAACTTCAGTTTCTCAGCCACGCTGACCACATTTCAGGAGCTTATCAGCTACATGTGGCTAGCTGCAACTGTCCTGTACAGCATAAATATAGGTAGTTCCATCTTCACGGAAAAGTTCTACGGGATAACACTGACCTAGATCTCTCTTCGAACTATCTTGAAAACTGACTCAACAAATTCAGGGGCCAGGCAGTGGCTTAAAAGTAATGCAACTGGACCCACGTGGGAAATGTGTCCTAGGTTTGCATCCCAGAACCTCCCAGAATATGCTGGGTGCATGAATGCATGCTTGGGGTCCAGGCCGGCTGAGATTGGAGTGGAGGTACACCACAGTCTGAAGACCTACGGGGTGCATGACTGTCTTTCTCACTCATAAAATAACTAAACTAAACTAAACAAAAGAAAAAGAGGGCCCAGCAGGCAGCATGGGTTAAGATGCTGGACTCCTACACGGCCAACTGTGGTTCAAGTCCTGAACTTGGTGGCTTACAAATCATGCCAGGCTTGGGACCAGCAGTTGGTGTCATGGCTATGTCACTGGATTCCCATGTAGTCAACAATAGCTTGAGTCCAGGACCCAGTGGCTTAAACTCACACCAGGTGTGTGTGTGTGCATGCCCAAGATCCTGAGAAGAGAATGGAGGAGAAGGGACTGCAGCATGGCCATCCTCCCCAGGGGAGTGATTTCTCGCTTTCTGTCTCTCTGTGTCTTTCAGGTGAGCGCATGTACTCTATAACAAAAACCTGTCTCCCCCCCCAAAAAAAATCATGCCAGTCACGTGTGTGTGTGTGTGTGTGTGTGTGTGTGTGTGTGTCCAAAAATTCCAGGATAATGGAGGAGAGGGGATAGTGGTGTGGCCATCCCCGCTAGGGGTAATTTCTCACTTTCCCTCTGTCTCTCTCTGGTGAATGCGCACACCTTGTGGCAAAAACCTAACAAAAAAAGAAGAAAAAGAAAACTGAATGAACACATTCCACAAGGAAGTCATCTACAACTAAACTAGATAGAAGTGTATCCCCCAGCAATTGAAAGAAATTTCTACAAATAATGGAAAACGTTTTATTCACTATAAAAATTTTATTTATCGAGGGTCTACTATGCATAAGATAATGTATTTAGAACCAAAAAATGTACAATACCCAAATGTTCTATTGTCTTAGGGTCAAACTATAGAAAGTTTTAGGCACAACTCAAATGCCTTCATTTCTTTTTTTCCTTTACTATGTTATTGCTAAGTCTAGAAACCAATTTCTCAATGGAAAAGTATACCTAACTTCTAATGTCAGATGCTAATATCTCCCCTAATACTTTAAAGGTGTTTTGTTTTTTAGAAATAAAAGTACATTCATTATGATAAGAAAAGGGCAATTCACTTAGCATACCTGAACATATATATACTCATGGAACTGCAAGTATTAGATTGTTTGCAAAACAGTAATAATTTATATGAATGTCACGTTTCTCTGGTAGAATTTTAGGGAATTAAGGGAAACAGTAAAAGTTATTAGATAGTGTTTTATAGGCAACAAGACAAATTCATGTGACTAACTCTCCCTGTGAAGACAGAGAAGTCAATTAAATATAGTTTCTGACCTTAACATCATACCAACTTTAGGGTCAGTACATAGTACCTACTTTACATATTCATTCACACTGACAATTTTAAAATATTTTTTTTGCCAGAGGGCATGTGCACTCATGAGAGAGAGAGAGAGAGATTTTTGCCCATGACTGACTGGCTGGGGACAATGGGAGATTGCAGCATGAGACCCTATTCAGAATGGTTGTCTTTC